AACCCTACCCCTACCCTTACCCCTAACCATAGCCCATAACAAAGACATCTCAAACAATGTCATCTTTGCATTAAAAATTACATAACTGAGCGAATGACACTTAATGACAGTTGTCATAAACATGCATAAAAAAACCTTCATATTCATGATATGTGTCATGTCATGATTTATGTAGGTGTCATGTCATGATTATGAAGGTGTCATGTCTTATGCACACCCCTTCAAGTAAAGTGTTACCTGAAATTATACATGCCACATGTGATCAAAAAGACATATAATAAACATGTGACGTCATGTGGTATGGCGTCACAAGATACAGTAGATGTTGCGCAATACTTCACTTGAGTCACAAGACAATAATGAGCATGAAAGAAATGGATCTTTATCGCCCAACCAAACACATCTTTTCTTAATCGCAAGCAAACATGATTGTGGGTCAGTTATGTGCCATAATTAAACACACAACCCGTCATACTGATGATTACAATTATCATAACACAAAGTGGAGCAGAACTTCGTAACGTTACCAGAAACCCACCGAGACAGTATCACACACGAGCTGTAGACTGCCACCCAACTGCTGTTTATGCAATATAGCAGAATTTCTATGACTGCATGAATATGAAGGTTTTTTATGCATGTTTATGACAACTGTCATTAAGTGTCATTCGCTCAGTTATGTAATTTTTAATGCAAAGATGACATTGTTTGAGATGTCTTTGTTATGGGCTATGGTTAGGGGTAAGGGTAGGGGTAGGGTTAGGTCAAATAATGTCATATTTGCATTAAAAATGACATAACTGAGCGAATGACACTTAATGACAGTTGTCATAAACATGCATAAAACCTCAAACATGTGTCATGTCATGATTATGAAGGTGTCATGTCTTATGCACACCCCTTCAAGTAAAGTGTTACCTGAAATTATACATGCCACATGTGATCAAAAAGACATATAATAAACATGTGACGTCATGTGGTATGGCGTCACAAGATACAGTAGATGTTGCGCAATACTTCACTTGAGTCACAAGACAATAATGAGCATGAAAGAAATGGATCTTTATCGCCCAACCAAACACATCTTTTCTTAATCGCAAGCAAACATGATTGTGGGTCAGTTATGTGCCATAATTAAACACACAACCCGTCATACTGATGATTACAATTATCATAACACAAAGTGGAGCAGAACTCGTAACGTTACCAGAAACCCACCGAGACAGTATCACACACGAGCTGCAGACTGCCACCCAACTGCTGTTTATGCAATATAGCAGAATTTCTATGACTAATATGACACATCACATGATATGACAGTTGAAAACATTTACCTCATCCGTCTGAAGTCCTCGAACCTCCGGGAGTAGCGCGGCCATGTTCATGTTTCGTGCCAGGATGCCAACCTGCGTCGATATGAACGACCGAAACACACAAATAAAGCCCAACTGTCAAAGAGTAGGTCACGCTTTAACGGAAATCGCTTCCCCGGGATATGAGACGAGCGGAGAGGCGTTAACGTTAGCTAGTCAAATGCATCGTGGAAACGACGCCGATGGACATCCTCTCAGCTCGCGCCCACTTCGACACGCCCCCAATACGTCGCTCACGCCCACTACGCTCTCGACCACGCCCCTTGTCTGCCTCATAACAACAGCGCTGTACACAGAATGTGAAGCTTTTTTCTGTCTCCTTTGCTGGCGTAAATATGATCTATTCTCTTTAAATCTACATTTAAGTCTTCATTTTTGTAAATTAGTCGTATTTAAAGTTTATTATGATTATTATCATTAATGGCGCCTGCAATGCTGTGTAGCCTTTATAGAAAAATAAAATATGTCAACAACCATATTCAGTATGTAAAGCATGATTTCTTCCCAAACAAATTTGGTATATAAATCATGTAACACTTGTGTTGTAACGTATTACTGTATTAGCATACGTTTCATTCTGAAATATATAATTATAGAGAAAAATATACAGAATAATTAATAGACAAATAATTATTAACGACAGCATGAATAGAATAGAATTAACTGTACTTAATATATACTGAAAATGTGCTTTATCTATTACTAATTGCCATCGGACAGAGTTCACCTTCAACCAATCACAGCGAGGCATAGCTCACTCTTATCCAATGAAATCGTTCGACTGTTTAATCCCGCCCATTCACGCGTTTCCTAGGAAGTGCATGTTACGCACACTTTGTGATCGATTCAAAGCACGATTATAAAGGTATGTGTTCAAATTTATACGAATGCCGTGTAAGGTTAACCGTTTTACAGACTGCATAAGCTGTTTTCTGTACAGATGTGTTAGATCTTGGAGAAGTCGTGTGTGTGTTTTATATGGCCGCGTTGATGTTGCACTGCTCGAGAGAGAATTCTGTTCTGCACAATATGCTCTGCACTGTTATGATTTTGACTACCAGCTCATTTATATCCAGAATATGCATGAACGTTAAACATCATCATGAAGCATATCCTAATTTTTGCAGATTCCACTCTCCCTGCTTCTTTAACACAATGGAAGTCAACAGAACAGGCAGAACCTTCCTCATAACCGGTGGAGGAGGTTATTTCGGATTCCGGTAAGATTTCATGACAGCTTGCATCTTTTTTTTCTTATTAATTTCCACATAACCCTAATATCAGTCATAGTATCTACACAAACCACTAGATGGCGCTATCATACTATATTATAGAACAGTAGATTCCCTCTCTGTACCTGGAGACCCCTCAAAAGTACTTTACTTTATTTGCTCAAAAACATTTTGGATGTACTTATCTGGCACAACCATTTTTGGGTCTTGCAGTACTTTATGAACGAACTGATGAGTTCAGCAGATCCACACTGGGCCTCCAGGAACAGGGCTGAAAACCCCGGCTATGGTTCTCAACTTTTTAAATGTACCGTATTATGAATATGTATTTAATGCATTAACATTATAAATTATTGCATGTTTTTATGTCAAGCCATGTTTATTTATATAGTGCTTTATGCAATGTTTCAAAGCAGCTTTAAATTAATAAACAGGAAAATAACAGAATATTGCAAAGTTATGAATACAATTTTAGCTATAAAACAGCTCTAAACTAGACAATTTACTGAAATTGTACTCACCCTCAGGCAATGCAAGATGTAGATGAGTTTTTTCTTCATCAGATTTGGAGAAATGTAGCATTGCATCAGTGTCTCAGCAATGGATGCTCTGCAGTGAATGGGTGCCGTCAGAATGAGAGTCCAAACTGATAAAAACATCACAATAATCCACAAGTAATCCACACCACTCCTGTCCATCAGTGAACATATTGTGAAGCCAAAAGCTGCGTGTTTGTAAGAAACAAATCCATCATTAAGATGTTTTAACTTTAAACCATTGCTTCCAGCCAAAATATGACTCCATAATCCAAAATAACACTTCCTCCAATGAAAAAGTCCATCTCCTGTCATCTCTCACATCAAGTCATCTGGATTACTTGTGACGGCACCCATTCACTGCAGAGGATCCATTGGTAAGCAATTGATGGAATGCTTCATTTCTCCAAATCTGATGAAGAAACAAACTCATATATATCTTGGATGGCATTAAGTAAATCATTTTTTGGATGACCTATTCCATTAAAGCTTGATTGTTCTCTTTGTAAATACGATTTCTCTTTCAGTCTTGCCAGTGCTCTCCTCAAAACCTCCTCAAACGTTGTGCTGTTTGACGTGAGGCCACCGAGCCAAGAGTTGCCGGAGGATATAGTATTCATGCGGGCAGATATCCGTGACTACACTCAGGTGGAAAAAGCGGTTCGGGGCGTGAACTGCGTGTTCCACATCGCCTCCTATGGGATGTCGGGACGGGAGCAGCTCGATCGAAAACTCATCGAAGAAGTGAACGTACAGGGAACAGAGAACATCCTCAGGGCTTGCGTGGCACACGGAGTCCCTCGTTTGGTCTACACGAGCACATTTAACGTAGTGTTTGGAGGTCAGGAGATTAAGGACGGTGATGAAAGTCTCCCTTACTTGCCCTTGCACCTGCACCCTGATCACTACTCCAGGACTAAGTCTATAGCTGAGATGCAGGTGTTAAAAGCGAACGGTTCGCCTCTGAATAATAGCGCAGGTGTCCTACAGACTTGCGCCCTGCGTCCAGCCGGTATATACGGCCCTCGTGAGGAAAGGCACTTGCCTAGAATAGTTAGTTACATTGAGAATGGCATCTTTAGGTTTGTGTACGGGGATCCTGATAGTCTGGTGGAGTTTGTTCATGTGGATAATCTAGTGTCCGCACACATGTTAGCTGCCGAGGCGTTAACTGAAAAGCGTCAGCATCGTGCCGCCGGTCAGCCCTATTTCATTTCTGATGGAAGGCCTGTGAACAACTTTGAGTTTTTCAGGCCTCTGGTAGAGGGTCTGGGATACTCGTTCCCCACGCTTCGCCTGCCCATATCGCTCATTTACTTCTTTGCGTTTCTGACCGAGATGCTTCACCACGTCGTGGGGCGGATTTATAACTTCCAACCCCTGCTGACCCGTACTGAGGTCTACAAGACGGGTGTCACACACTATTTCAGTATGCGTAAGGCACGAGAAGAGCTGGGATACGAGCCTAAACTGTATGACCTGGATGATGTTGTGCAATGGTTTCGGGGCAGAGGTCATGGGAAGAAACACAGCCAGTCATCAGTTAAGAAACTAATTTTAGATGTTGTTTTGGTGGTCGCATTTGCAGCAGTGGCGCTCTCCTGCCTTCCGGTTGTGGGACAGTGAAATGTGTGGATTTAATTTCAGTTCTGTGCCTTATGTGAGATTTATACTGACCTGATTTGTTAATTTTTAAAACATGTATGTTCATATTAATGTACACGAGGGATGTATTGTTGTGAAATGCTGTAAAGAGACAAATAAGCTAAACCCTGATAAATGTTTTATTTTATTTCCACTTTTGGAAGGGCAGTGTCCTTAGAGAGTTCGGGGTAAACATATTTTTGTGGATTTTAAACAATATTAAAATGCTTCTTTAAAATAATAAAATTGTCTTTTTTGGTTAAAAAGAATGGTTACCAGAAAGACTATATTTGCTGTATGTGATATTTTTCAGTACAACTTATTATCAGTATAACAATTTAATGCAAAATGTAGTTGAAAAAATGACAGGAATTTCAAAATGTCTTTTGTGTGTGTGTGTGTGTGTGTGTGTGTGTGTGTGTGCTAGTTTGCTTAACTGACAGCAGCACTGAACAAAACTTGATGATCATGTTCTTCAGCATGATGTGAGATGATCTGAAGAGCATCTTGAGTTTCAGTGGAGGCAGGAAAATCTGACTGTACAAAGAGTAACAAGATCATCATTGTCACTTATTTACTTACATTTGATTAGTGACATAGAAACAGTGCACTGAATTTTTTATTCTTTTTATGCTATGCCTTTGCTTTAAATTGCATTCATGCATTTTTATAATTAATACACTGCATACATTTGATCAATTCATGCTTTCTGGGAATTGAACCCATGACCTTGGCATTGCTAGTGTCATGTTAGACTGTTTGAGCTATCCTGAAACACCAAAATCCTGAAACTTTCTGTTTATTTTCAGCTGTACGTGAATATCTATCCCAGATTTTCAGTTTAGAGTGTGAATATATGAGATATATAAAAATATATATTTTTTTTAATTATGCACAGGGTATGAATTATATTGTATAGACAATATATCAAAACAAGTTCTCAAGTTCATCCATTCCTCAGGCGTAGCTCACCATATGATTTATCAAAATGTTTTACAAACACACAGTCATACAGAACTATTGTTTTAGAAGTTAAAAAGAAATGTTTCACTTGAAAATCTTGATATTGTGCTACCTGATATTTTAAATGTGGCTCAAGTGTCAAAAAAAATAAAATACTTGTGGCGGCCACTGTATGGTGACGGAAATGTAAGTTAGTGACAATAGCCTTTGTCACTGATGCACAATGAGATGTTTGGGATCTGCCCTTCCCCCAGATTCAACAAACCTTCACTGGCCTCCTGTATGTGCATGCTAGTACTGTTGTTTTTAGAGCACGAGTTACCTGGGAAACACAAGCCAGGTAGATTTTACAAACAGTATATAGAGACTTGAACAAGAGTATTTCTTTAATACTCATTTTTTCTCTCCCAAGAATACAAACAATTCAGTTGCATAAAGGGTTGCTTGTTAGGTTAAAGTTTTTTTTAGAGATGTTCTGTGTAGTTTTTAATTATGTTCTGTGGGCTGGTCTATGTGGTTAAATCTTTAATCTGTCCCTCTGGATGAAAGTGGACACACGTAGACTCTCCAAAGGACTTTTTTCAGGATTCTGCTCCCCCTTGCTGAGTTGCTCTCTATCATTGTTTCGCTCCGGCATTAACCACATTCCAGAGCGCCGCAGCGCAGCCCGTCTCCCTCCGCGCATTCCTCTCACACAAACGAGTCCCGAATGAATCGTTTGATACACGCATACTCGTCCGTCTACGCGTTCAACATCTGTCCTGTTTACTGCGAAATTCTCGGGGGGAAATTTTAGGATAGCTGGAATTGCTGGAAACGAGTTCGCAGGAACAATCAAAGCGAGAAAATTCCTCCGCGCAGCGCGCCATTGACTGTAAAGACCTTTCAACTTTACAAAAACCTGAAATTGACAAACGTTCTCTTGAGTGGAAACTTTGTCACGACGACCGTATCGCCACAAATCGACAGGCGGGGAGCATGCATCGCGACGGAATGACGGCGAAGGACTAAGGAATCGCGAACAGGCAACGATGGTTCGCCTGAGGCGGCGTTTTTCCGCGTAAAATGCAGTTTGTGTTGTAGTTGACTAGTGCTCCCCCGTTCAACTCGCCTCAGAGACGGCATGGATGGATATGACGAGGATCCGGCGAGCAAACTGATGAAAAACCTCTCTATTTTTGACGTTTATCAAGACGGGATGTACGGGGAACCGAACCCCGATATGGAGAAAACTAAACGAATGAATGGCAGCTCCTCCGCGCACGGGAACAAAGTCTACGGCGCGGCTCCCCTGCGCTCCGTCATGGGTAACCGACCCTCAGTGCCTCTGGATTTCTGTTCTCCGCAAAGGGACGCGGTTTATCCCGATCCCGACGCGCACTGCACCAAATCTGAAGTTGCCTTGCCGTGTTACAGCGGCGCGTCGGATCGTCTCAGGAGATACACGCAGGCGGAGGTGCAGGCGCACCGGTACAGCGCTGGATGCGCCTACGACGCGCTCATTCTGGGGAAGCAGGTGAGGAGCAACAGCTTATGCATGGCCACGAGTCCCCGGTCCAGTTTAGCTTCGTCTCACTCGTCGCAAGACCAGAGCAAACACACCAGCCCGAGGTCGAGCATCAACAGCCCGCGGTCCAGCCTGGTGTCACCGGGTCAGGAGAAGTGCTGCGAGGGGAACGGCGTGATCAGCGCCCGCTCGAGTTACGCCAGCACGGCCAGCGACACCAGCAAACACTCCAGCCCCAGAACCAGCCTCAACAGCTACGACTGCGGGAGCAAACCTAGCAGCAACCGAACCAGCGGCATCAGCATGGGCTACGACCAGCGGCACATCAGCCCCAGATCGAGCACCACAAGCCCGCGCTCCAGCTACTCGCCCGCGGGGAACCACGAACCGGAGAGCGGCGCGGTGCACGGCATCCCCATGACCAGCCCCCGATCCAGCATCTGCAGCCAGGACGGCGGCGGGGTTGCGCGACTCGCCGTGGCGGCAAACTGCGTGGTCAGTCCCCGCTCGAGCATCTCCAGCCACAGCTCCAGGAGTTCGCGGAGCTCCATGAGCGCGTATCCCGAGCTCCAGCACTCCATGCTGGGACCCGGTTTGCCAGAGGACGCGCTGCTGCAGGACTTCACGGAGCCAAACGGCCTCCACAACAACCGCGTCCACCTCCAAGCGTTTCCCGAGCCGCAGCAGCAGAATTCAGACGTCAACATCGTGTTTAACTACGGGAAGATGGGCACCGGGGGGCACCGCTTAAAGCTGCCGTACCAGGTCACTCCATCCCGGGACAGCGGCCCCAGTCCGGCGGAGCGGCGCCTGGAGGCCCTCACACTGGAGCTGGAGAAGGAGCTCGAGATGCACACGAAAAAGGAATATTTTGGTGAGTAGATCATGCAGGGTCTTAATTCACTTCTAATTAGTTTAGTGCACATTAAAGTTCTGGACAGATAAGAACATTCCCTTTTATTTTTCCTTTGTGCCTTTTGCGTATACATAAAACTTGGTTTTGAATGAACTTTTCCAGAATTGTTTGGTGGAAAGTCATGTTCACACCTTGACACGCTCAAACCTAGTGCTGTCAAACGATTAATCAATTAATAGCATTAAAAAAAAAGTTTTTGTTTGCATAGGCCTAATATATGTGTGTGTACTGTGTATATTATATATATATCTATATATATATATATATATATATATATATATAAATACACACAAACACACAGTATATATTTAGAAAATATTAATATATGAACATAACATATTTTTCTTATATACATGCATGAGTGTCTATTTATATATATGTAATAAATATACACAGTACACACACATATATTATGTAAACAAAAACTTTTATTTTGTATGCGATTAATCACGATTAATTATTTGACAGCACTACTCAAACCCCATTTACTGGAGCCAGCACAGAGCAGCCTTTGTGTTGGACTCATTAAAGTATCATTAGGGTGTGGGAAAACAGGTGTAAATCATGTTTTGTCAATGAATCAGTGTGCTTTCCAGACAAGAGGGTTTATACTTTTAGCACTGCTTTAATCACATTATCATTATTTATCTTTGAGCTGATTAAATCATCATTCATCCAGACTTTTTCGCCCAAAGGCATCATGCAAAAGACGCCAAATTCCCAAAACGTGGATCATCTCACAAGGCATGCTGCAACATAGACTAAAGTCACTGTCATTTCATTCATCAACGCAGTTTTAATTCTCAAAAGGAGGCTTAATGGCTCTGAGTTGTTTTCTTTAATGATTAACTTTTATGGGTATTTCTCCCAATTTAAGTTCCATAGGAGAAATAATCATAGACACGACTTAACCGACACACAAGTTAATAGTTGACATCCAAAAAGAGTATAGAGCTATAAAATGAATATGAATAGCAGCTCAGATCATATGGTCTCCAGAGAATTTGGCGAGTACATATGAAGAGTTTGGTTCCAAAATGCTATAAATCCATTTTGATTAATTTGAGTAAAAATGTGTTTTCTTTACCAAGAAAGTGGCAAGATGAAAACCACTATTTTCTGTTTCAAACTTTCACATAGCATCTTTAGGTTATAATAACATTAAAAATTCAAATCCAGATTTTGATTTTCAAAGATTTATTATAAAATTGTATTATTTTTTCCCCAAAATGCAATAAATCCATGACACGTTTTTTTTTTCTTTCCAAAATGCAATAAATCCATGACACGTTTTTTTTTTCTTTCCAAAATGCAATAAATCCATGACACGTTTTTTTTTTCTTTCCAAAATGCAATAAATCCATGACACGTTTTTTTTTTCTTTCCAAAATGCAATAAATCCTTTGAATCAATATCATAGTTATTTTTCATATTGAAACTGTTGAAAATACACAACATAGTAAGTTGATCCACATATGACAGCCTCTGAACTTGGTCAATACTAATCTTATATACAGGCACTACACTAAAAATACATTCAATCAGTCATCGCTCCCAAAATGGTGATGCCCCATCTTGTTAATGCTATAAATGAATTACAACAATAAAAGAAAATTTCATCACGAGCATACATGAAAAACAATATCACATTAAACCTTACATTCAACTTCCAAAACTGCATTCATCTTTGCCATGTTGTATTAAATGCCGCTCCATCTGAAAGCACGTGATGGAGTTTACTATTAATCACAGAACCAGCTTTACTGACGAGTTGCGCATGACATTGCACAGCCCTAGTGCTGATGTATTTCATATTGAGAATTGTTTGCCACTTTTCTTTAATCATTCTAGAGAGCATTTGATTGGACAAAATTTGAGTCATCAGTATTTTTGGTCCAGTTTTCCTGGAAAAGAAAGACTGTAAATCTTAAATGTGTTTTTTTGCATAACACTAACATCCATAATCCTAAAACTACACAACTCTTCAGTTTCTTGAGGTCTTTAAACGGGCTATGGCATGCCTTTTTCATTCTTTTCACGTTCCTTGAGTTTAACGTGTAATGTTAATGTTTTTTGCTAGTGCGTGGAATGGTGCGCTGTGATTGGTTGAGCGGATATATCGCATTCTGCAGAAAAGGGAGACTGGCGTTTGTCGCGGTTTGGAAAAAAAGGGAGAAAACATGACAGAATAACTCGGCGGATATTGGATTTTGTGTAAAATTAAAAATTGACTTTTCAGTACCGACCACATACAATTGTAATTTTGGCGGACACTCTTTTTTTTTTTTAAATGGCGTTTATCGCATTTTGGAACCAAACTCTTCATATATTGAGCATGATTTTGCCAAGTAAGACCTGTTCCTTGATCAACATCTTTTGTTGATCCTGGATCAACATTACTGTCCAAAAATATAGACTTAACCCAAAACCTACCCCTAAACCTAATCCTACCCATAATTTATTCCTAAATTCAGTGGGAAATGATAGCTGGTTAGCAAGGGTGTAGAAGCACCTAACCCTGATCGTAAGCCTAAAACTGAGATTTCCTGAAAAGTTATCCCTCAGTTCTGATTGGTTGATTGGAATGTTGTTCCAGGATCAACAAGGATGTTGATCCAGGAACATGTTGTACTTGGTGAAATCACGTTCACCTGAGACATTGCTGAGATCTTCTTCTTTTTTTTAAGCTCAGGAGACAACTCTTTTTTTTCTCAGTAGCAGGCAGCTTTAGCAAACAAGGAGAAACAAGTGAGATCTTGTGGGTGGATTTTGTTAAAATGAGTCTGCTGACAGTATTATAATCACAGTTTGTGTTTGTTTGTTTGTTTGGTTTGTTTAGTGTGTTGTTTTGATAAAACACAAGTTTTGCACCCAACTCACAGGGTTTAAGTATGCAGGTTGGTGCCAGTGACCACAAACTTTGGCTAAACACTGCAGTAACTGGCTCATTTTGCATTGTAACCAGCTGATTGCTGATTGGATTTGGTCACACCGGGCAGCAGCGGTAGACCAATCACAATAAAGGCTGCTGGCATCCCAACTGGCACAGCCCAAAAAGGACATTGTAGCCGGTGAGCAGACAGACAAACAGGGTTCTTAGAGGCTTGTTTTTGGCCCGGACCTGGACGGAAAAAGGCAAGTCTTCAGAGAGTACATACTTTGTCTCCCAGTTTGTACGCCACTTCCTGCCAGTGTCCTTCCAAGGCCTGAACGTCAACAGAAATGTTCTTTAGTGGCATGTGAGCCTGTGTTTTTTTTTCTTAGGGAAGTCCTTAATTTGTGATCTGGCGGGACTAGTGTTGGTTTAGTGGAGGAGAAATACAGCAGCAGAGAAGATAAAATGTCTTAAAATCTCTTTAAACCTTAAAAACCCAAAAATAAAAATTGTCATCATTTACTCACCCTAATGTCATTCCATACCTGTATGAGTTTCTTTTGGCTGTTGAACACAAAATAAGACGTTCTGAAGAATGTTGGTAACCAAAGAGTTGACGGTAGCCATTGACTTTCATAGTATGAAAAAAAAAAATACTATGGAAGTCAATGGCTACCGTCAACTTTTTGTTTTTCAACATTCTTCAGAATATCTTCTTTTGTGTTCAGTACAGTAAAGAAAATCATACAGCTTTGGAACAACTTGAGGGTGAGTAAACGATGACAGAATTTCCATTTTTGAGTGAACTATCCCTTTAAAACTCCCATTTGACTTGAGTTAGCAGAATTTTAACTACATTTTTTGAGGAATCATTCGTGTCTGGAACACAAATGTTGCTGATAGGGGTTTGTTCAGATCATTAAGCCTTGGTATGAGCAATAGTAACTGTAATGCTTGCTTAGTAAACAGCACAGTGTTCATCTTTTCAAGTAACACAAGCTTTAGGTCTGTTGTTGTGACTCTGTCGCATTGTCTCATCTTTTGTGTCTCCGCTGCAACTGGGATTTGTTTCTGCTACTGCCTGGAAACACATTTGAACAGGTTTAGTTGCAGAAAGTCTAGAGATGGAGGTATGAGTGTGTTTTTGCCTCTGAGGAGCAGGTGATGTTTTTTACTGCATGCCGAACCCTCTTTAGTCTGCATTAGTCTGCGCGAGAGCGAACCCTCTCCGTTACCGTGACAACAGCTCCCCTAAAAGCAATCTCGCCGGGTATTCGCGATGTGTCTTTCTGTGCTCTTAAAGGGTTCATTCAACTAAAAATGAAAAATCTGTCATCGTTTTCTCACCGTCATGTTGTTCCAAACCTGTATCAGAATCTGCTGTCGAGCTCCTAAAAGGACAGAACTGCACTATAAAAGTTGTTTATATTCACATTAAAAGGGTCAGAAATGTATGACTTTGCTCTATGCTTCAGCTCTTAACTCCTAATTTAAACTCCTAATCTCATTTGTGTTCTTGCGACATGCGAGAACCAATGCAAATTGTTATAACTGACATTAAACCTACCAAACGCCTCCATGCACCATACTGAACATGCTCTGTGATATTTGAGAGCTACAAAAGAGGAAAGGTTATCAGTGAATTATGAGAAAACTTATTATAATGCACATTTGGACTAGTTTTATAGTACTTTTTTGAGCTCAAATGCCCATTGCATGCTTTTCTTGTATGGAAAACAACACGGGCAATCATTTCATTCTGTGTTTCACAGCCAAAAGCAAATAATATATGGTAAATTATAGCAAAACATTTTGGGTGACTTGAGTATGTGTGAGGTTTTTATTGTTTTTTATGTTTTAAAAGTTTTTAGAGGTGGTATATGTTAAAAACAAAGCTGCATTGATATACACTGCTGGTCATAAGTAGAAATCATCTGCAAATGGAAGTCTTTTGTAACAATATACACTACTGTTCAAAAGTTTGGTATTTTTTTTCTTTCTTTTTTTGAAAGGAATTAATACATTTATTGAGCAAGGATGTGTTAAATTGATTAAAAGTAATAGTAAAGACTTATATTGTTAG